GAAAATCCTGATGCGAATGCCCAGTGTTTATCACTGGGCTATCATTTCGATGGCGCCGAAACTGAGGAAATCACTCCTTAATGAGACCATCTCAAACAAATTCCTCACCACACACTTCACTGAGAGATCAAATCCTATTAGCCTAACTAAAATTCTGTGTCACTCGATTGGAATCAAGACAAGGAAACCAGTAAAAATACCAGAGGTGGGGATGGATATCAGTTTGTTTTCCCCAAAGATTTATTAGCCATATTTCTTCTATCAAAACATAAGTTGTTCTCACGGCAGGAAGTTTTTTGAGGTGACAGCTACAAGTAAATTTCAAGAGAAGTCAATACTGAACTTTGAAGAGCATTTATGAATAATAATGCATTAGGAAAGGTCAACTGGGCTTTTGCTCCAAAAAGTTAAGTACTCAGTGCCCCTGCCCTGAGTTTGTTTCCAAAGTATTCCTTATCGGCAGGAGGAGGCGAGTGATCCCAGCAAACGTTTTAAATGCGCAACTTTGCTTATCTTCCTGTATTAATGATCCTTATGGCAGTTGTTGTATTAACCTTATCACACAGAATAGCAATAAGGGAGGCCTAATGTGCGAGAAAGGGGAAAAAAACATTCCGTTTAATCTCAGGGACCTTGTTCTAACCCTAGCAATTTTCTGACTGTCAAGCGGAGTGAAAAATGGAAGTTGGGCTTTTACTGAGTTTTTGTAAAATCACAAAGAAGCTAAATGTTTTCAAATGGGTGACTCACTAAACTTCATACAGTGGGAAGAGAACCCAGATTAGATTAGCCTCTGTGCGCCCAGTCCTGGCTCTGTGAGCTCTGCTAAGAAGTACTGAAGAGGAGACCTGCTGAGGAGACAGGAGGTGGCTCTTGAGAAAGCCACTCCTCCTTCAGAGCTCTGAATTGCTCATCTGTGGATAGACACACCAGCACTCCCCAGTGTCCCTGGGAAGCCCTTTCTCTTCCTTCTCATCTCTCTCTTTAAGATTTAAGATTTACTTATTTATTTTACTCTGTCTTCATGCATCCCATTACAGACGGTTATAAGCCTCCATGTGGCTGCTGGGAATTGAACTCTGGGCTTCTGGAAAAGCAACCAGTGCTCTTAATTGCTGAGCCATCTCTCCAGCCTCAGAAAGTCCTTTTGCATGCAGTCTCTGTCGGCATGGAGGAGGTTCCAAGACTCCCTCTTTTTTTTTTTTTTTTTTTTTTTTTTGGTTTTGGTTTTTCGGGACAGGGTTTCTCTGTGTAGCCCTGGCTGTCCTGGAACTCACTCTGTAGACCAGGCTAGCCTCGAACTCTCGAACTCAGAAATCCGCCTGCCTCTGCCTCCCAAGTGCTGGGATTAAAGGCATGTGCCACCACCACCTGGCCAAGACTCTCTCTTTTAATTCCTTTTTAACTTTGACAAGAAAAGAACCTTGACCCCAAGACTCTTCCATCTCAGGGTACTTGAGAAACCAACTAACTTTAAGATTGAAATTAGTTTTTTTTTTTTTCTCGGCTGCAGTGGTGGGGTGATCTCACCCCCTTCCACTTCCCATGCCAGGTAATTTTATTTTTCATTATCCCTTTAATGCAGAGCAGGGCCACTGATTACAAAAAAAGCAGTTTGACTCTAGCAATAGGTCTTCTTCAGTAATCCTCACTGTCATGGAAATTCCAGCCGCTGCAAGAATAAGAAGTTCAATCCATATTTGCCAGCTCTAATATGAAATCTGTCAGAGCCCAAATTAATGAGTTCCAAATTCCTTACATCACGATAACAGGTTAAGACTGGTCAATTAATTACATAAATCCTTCCCGATTCATTGTGCGTTTGCAGCCCAGATTGTGTCTTACATTACTCCGTGACACAAGGCCTTTTGACTCCTGTTGTTCCAAAGAAAGGCCCCATTTAAGTGGAGGCTGCCTGCCACGGCAAAATGTTAAATGTCACACGTTAAATGTGCACTTTTCTGTAATTGCTTTTGTTAAAAAAAAAAAAAATTAAAGTACAGGGCTCCTAACACAGCACCGTGCTGAAGGCTGGAACTGTACTGAGCACCAGCTTGGGTAGGTAGACACCTCTGCTCTGCCCCTAACAGTGCATACAGACTCTTCGGTACCCATGCGCTGCACGAAGAAGCCAGAAGGCTGTGTTTGTGAAAATAAGCCCAGTTCCTCTAAGACCAACGCTAGCAAATGAAAACAATTAAATATACCTTTTTTTTAATAAGAAGATTAAAATCTGAGTCCAGCTTCTCTTGTCAGGTTTAAGAGTACTATTAAGTGTGTAACCCACGTTGGACCTAGTTAACTTGAAAAGGGAGGCACATTATACAGTGTATACGGTACATGTGTAGTTCTTGTCACCAAAAAGGCTGCTCCTGATGGCTTTGCTATTTAGATTTGTAACCGATATGCACCTACAGAGAGTAGAGTTGACGGCTCAGAGGGCTACAAAATCATCCAGGCCAAATGTTTCTTCCTTCCTTCCTTCCTTCCTTCCTTCCTTCCTTCCTTCCTTCCTTCCTTCCTTCCTTCCTTCCTTCCTTCTCTTTCTTTCTTTCTTTCTTTTTTAGTGTCCAAATGAGCTTGGAGTCACAGCTAGGTAGACCGTGATGTGCTGTGATTCAACGCCTAATGCCATCTCCCCCCTCACCCCACTGTCTTACTCTGTGGCCAGATGCGAATATAGCCTGAACCATCTCACCACAAGCGTGGAGTCTGGTGAGCACAAGCCAGCAGATGATGCTCTAGGCATAGATTGCAGGGTATCAGCGCGCCGCGCTGCCCGACAGCGACCCCATCTGTCCACCCGCGGCCTCGCACCGCCGGTCAGCCTCAAGTGACCTGGCTCAGAAGCTTGAGGACTTGCATCTCCCCACGCGCGATCCAGAACCCGGATGCACGCGATCCTTCCCCAGGGGCAAAAGTCCCGCTCGTGGGCACAACCGGGTCAGACAAGAGAGAGACGTTGGCATACTGGGCTCCGGTCTGGAAGGTTCCAGGCTCCTGGGATATGAGCACAGCGCAGCGTGGGGTCAGCTAAGGATGGAGCGGATGGAGCCATGTGCACACTTTGGGAGGGCGGCGTCTGAAGAACAAAGGCCCACGTGCCTCCCCCACCCCCGCCCGGCACGTGTGCGGTGGCTTTGTTTGGTCCTCACCGTCTGGGTGCGGGACGCTGGCGGTGCCCGAGGCAGGTGGGCCATGGTAAATCGCTCTCCACCCGCCCACTCCAAATGGCTTCCTCCCATCCCCCACCTTGTTTCGCAGAGCAGTTGCTATGGGTTACCAGGGCGGTTGCCATGGGTTACCCAACCGAGGAAGCGGGGAGCATGCGTGGGACGGCAGGAGCTTGCGGGCTGCTGATCCGAGGCCCACGGGGGTGGGGGCTGAGCTATAAAGAAGGCCCAGGTAAGAGACGAAATCCACGCGCTATGACAGGCAGAGCCTGCTGGCTTCGGCAGCATCTCCACTTCTCTTTAGCTTAAAGCAGAGTGGATTCCGCAAAAATTTTTGTAGCTTAGTGTTCTTCTTTCCCTCCCTCCTCTTTATCTTTTGAAAATACGTCTTTGGAATTTTGAAGGAAGAGGGTCATGAACTACCAGAGTTTGCTCGCTGCTAAAATAAATTAGTGTCCAATGCACTGTTCTTAACAAGGACCTAGAAGTTTCCATCAAGAGGGAAAGGGCTGACAATGGTGACTGGACTGTAAAACGCATCCAGCCAAGAACAAAGCCCCAAATCCATTGTAAATGTATCAAAATCCAAAGGAATTGTTTCTTTACATGCTAAATTATTTTTAGCTCCATTTTATTAAAATGTCTGCATTTCTTGCCTTGACTTGCAAAGAAAACTGTATCTATGCCTTTAATGAATGTCAAGTTGCCACAACTAAGTTCAGACATTTTATGTCTGAAGATGTGTTCACAGCAAATTAAGAAATGGTTTTCCTCTGAAACAAAACTCTATTGAAATAAATGTTTTCTCTGTGGAAAAGACAGCGTTGTACTCATCGGGCACCAGCTAACTAATTTAAATATTAAAAGACGATTTAGAGACAGAATAAGCCTTCCTAATTTTTGTACTTAAAAAAAATAATTAGGCCTTTCATGAAAATGGCTCAATCCTGAAAACCTTATTGTACACATTTAACTTGATGATAAACCCTTAAAGAAGCACCAAAATAGAGAAGCTGGGTTCAAAACAACACACAGCTGTCACTATTGGATATAGCATGGCTAACCTAAATAAATTTGATTAAATTCTTAATGTCATGTAGGACATTTTATGCTTGTACCTCTCCATGCTGCAAATAACTTGTTTGTATTTGATTGTTAAATATAATTTGAAATTGACCCGAAGAGCTCTCGCAAAATATATTTAGTATCTTAAGGAATGACAAATGATTCAAGACAAACATTTGTGGTTTCCCCTAGTGGTTTTTTTAAACTGAAAATTTTTAAACTAGAATTAAAATCACTTTTTAGCAAATGAGACTTCAAGTCTTAAGTAACAGGTTGTTGACTTTCATTGCCGACACCTTCAGCTTACTTAGAAAGCCAACTTTAAAACAAAATATGTTCTACACCTGCAGAATACTCCAGAAAAAAAAAAAATCGAGCTTTGCTGAATGTTTAAACCATAAGGCATCCAGCATTAGGACTCCCTAAAGCTTGACTCACATTTAAAATAGCATTAAATGTCTCCTCTGCTGCTGGGTTACATGGTCAGCTACTTGTTTTCCTACAGACATGAGAGTATAAAACAAAGCAGGTGACCCATTGAAAACTGAAGTCCATCTAAATATGCCAGCCCCAAAAAGTCAGTTTGAAGAAGCTCAGCTGCTGTCACAGCCAAACCAGAGCGAATACAACTGCGGCGAGCATCAAACCATGTCTTACCAAAAGCTCGTCAATAAGAAATTACCGGTCATGTAAAAAACACAGAACTTAGGTCTGAGTCAGAAGAAATATATTCTCCCATATAAAGTAAGTGATCGAACAAAGTTTTTTGGTTTTGTTTTTTTCCCATGTGTTTAATGTGAAAAGAGCGACTGTGGAGTTTACCGAGCATCACTTCATATTAGCTTTGAAGGCTACATTATGTCATCAAGAAGTCGTATGGTAACGATGTCACAATATATGCTTTCCAAAAACACCGTAAAACATAAACAATGTGAATTCATCTGCTGAGGAGTGGGGGTTGCTCTGAAACTTTGCATACAGCTGCTAAATCTCGGCATTAAAATAAAGACAATGAGAGGAGAACGCTAACAGGATATAAGACATGAGTCAAAATATGTACAGAAGCGTAATAATGTTTCAGACAGAACTTAAAAAAAAACATTCTTATTCCAAATTTAATGTTTATTTCTTCTTTTTTTTTTTAAACCAATTCTCTGTAACAGGCATCTCAAAGGACTATTCAATAACTTTTTATTAATACAATAACTCCTAAGGACCCAAATAAATGGCTGCTTTTTGCAGCAGCTTTTGCACCCATGGGAGGGGGAGCCATTGGAAGCAACAAGTTATCCCACTTAGGTGAAAATTCCTTCCGCTGGCTCCCAGAGATACCTGGGAAGACTCTGGGGAGCACTTGGCTAATTAATCCCAGGAAAATGCTGCTTTATCTGAAACCGGAAGCTCATGGTAGGCCGAGACATCTTATCTTCGGGCCACTTTAAAAAAAAAAAAAAGTTATTTTATTCAAACTAAGCCAATCTTCTGGAAGACACCTAAAAAGAAAGGGCTTCTAAAACGTGAACATGAGTCTGACATTAGCAACCCAACTCCCACTCTCCAAAATTACTGAAATATTTATGGGTAAAATTAACACTTAAAAAAATCTTTTTCTAACTGAAAAAAAAAAAAATGAACAGGACCTACCAGAGGAGCCCCCACTGATGAAAGTTACCTGGTGCTTTTTTTTTTTAATGTCAGAAAATAAATCATAAGCTATGATTCTAATTGCACAATGGTAAAAGAATGACTTGTCACCAAGAAGCCATGTTTAAGCTGAATTTGGACAGTGAGAATGTATTTGTCGTGTGACAAATTTAAGCAAAATTACAAACACTTCTGTTTTTCTCCCTCCTAAGATGTAAACATTTTTTTTAGTACATCTCTATCTGTAAGACGTATTTTTCCATTGACACATGACACAGTATACTGGAAAGCTTAAATACTCTTAAATATTTCAATCAAATACCTGAAGGCAAAGTATTTTCCAGAGAAGAAGTCCTCACAAAACAAGAGCCACTCGTCAGAGAGGCAGGCAGTCTGCTGTGCCGTGACTCTGTACTCTGGCTCCGGTCACACAGTGTGTTTACAGCTAACTTCCTCATTGATACAGCAAGGATAGTCTGTCTGGCTTTAAACGCTACTAATACATCTAGCTCTTTAAAATTCAGTTAAGATCCACTGTATATATATATATGTGTGTGTGTGTGTGTGTGTGTGTATATATATATATAGCGTATAACTCATTTCACTTGACAGCAGGATCGTATTTACAAGCATGGGATGGCAATAAAGGGTCGAATGGCATTCACAGACCTTACAGCTTCATACAGAAGCTTGGCTAGAATTAGACAACATAAAACTACTACTAATAATAACCCACCACTTTAAGAATTTAACTACCTAGGATACTGACAGTGGCATTAGGTAAGAATCTATTACGAGCAAGCGTTCTTTCTGGCTGGGCACAATTTTGTTCCGAAGGTGGTAGCCCTAGAATTCCTTCTCAGGATTCCTGCAGAGCTGGGCTTGCTTTACATCCATGAGAACTGCTGTCATCACTACTGTGTCCAAGCCCAGAGGATGAACTGGAAAAGAAGAGAGGGGGAAAATAATAAAAAGAGGAAATTGGTTTTCACAACACACTCAAAGCCTGAGTAACAGAGGGGAACTTTAATTATCTCCAGTCACAAAGAGAGACAGGAAATTTGGACTTTTAATTAGCCATTTGGAGTGCAGTTGGATATTTTTTTAGCTAGATAATTTAAACGCGAATAATTCAAGTCTGACTAAATGAAAGTCACATAATCAGAATGCAGATAATTGAATTTCTGCTGCATTCATTAATTCAGTGTGGAGGTGTGTGTGAAGACCACTATGATGAGCTGTCACAGCTCAATAAAATCTCAGTCAATTAATTTTTTCATTATCTTACTATTACATCAACAAAAAGCAAAATGTGTCCATATATATATATATACATACACACACACACACACAGAGGCACATGGACACTATGCATTATGTAAATGTGTCTGTTAAATCAGAGTGCCGAGGAATACCTCTCTGAGTCATACTCTGCATCCGTGTCTTTCTTCCCTTCCTCCTCTTCTTCGGGAAACCGTCTGTTCATCAAGGCGAACTTATGAATGGCTTCTTCCACCGAGTACTTGGTCTGCCCAGAAACACATGCTTCAATGTCCTCAGAGTTTAGATGGCTCTGCAGGAAGAGGTGGAGGCTGCTATCAGAAAGCAAGAGTGCATTCTGCAGGACTCTGCAAAAAAAAAAAGGAAGAAAATAACTGGTGATCAGGTATAGGCAGAGATCGGGTAGAAGGCAGGCAGCCCTTACATACTGTACCTAACTGATCTCCTCTCTAGGAGAACTTTGCCCCAATGCCGGGCTCTGCCCACTGATGGGATGCAAGCATATGCTAACTTTTACTCGATTATTTGGAATCTTAGGTGAGTAAAAACACAAAGCTAATGGTTGAGAACATCTGTTAAAAAGAATAACTTCAAGGACATTTCTTCAATTTAACCATCTGTGAAAAGACCATGTGGATTAATTATGGGAATATTTTGCTTACACGGTTATAGAAATTCACTCTACTTTTAAAAATTTATGGCCAATAGCCCGTCAGTGCGGCAGTCTTTATTGGACAAGCTGTCACGAAACATCAAGACTTCCAACTATCGTTAAAATTATATGAAAAGTCCAATACACTCCCCAGTACCTCCTACACCTTAAACCTTTGCTGGTGCACTGAAGACATAAGTACAAGTTAACTAGGGCTCCTTTGCAGTGGCTCTCCTAATGCCTAAAGCTGACTAGAGACGTCTGTAAAATCTTCAGCAGCAGTGTGTCTCCATATTGCCAAAATAGGAACTAGATAAACTTGATCCCAAATCATTTTCTCAAGTAGGCCACATTGGTGCTAAGGACACACTAGTTGTCCAAGAGGACAGACTGAAACTTACTACAAAGACAACACACATTTCAGCTAAAGCATCAGAACCAGATGGAGGATTAAAAACAAACCCTGCAGCAGGAATCTAGCGTGGTCAAATTCATATCGTCAGCTGCGCGTGTGTTTTTCTGGAGTCTCACAGGGTAGGAAATCCGGTCAAAGTATCCGACACACTTCAGTGAAAACTGGCTTCACATCCTTTTAAATATTTTTTTATATATAATAATTAAGTTTCTATTAATAGTTCAGTGATGATATTACAAGAGGTACTAGAACCACAATGTATGAAGTAAAGGCAAGACACTACAGCCCACAAGTCATTTTGCCTGATGTGGGATTTTCTCTTACAGAGACTATGAAAACTAGATTGTACGTTTCAGGCCAAATGAACCTTGCGATTCTCTTCTGGTCATTAACAGCAATTTTGTTAAATACCAAGTGCATCACAATACCACATCCTTTTCTTCCAAAAAAACACAATGATTTCTTGAAGAAGGCAGATGTCCTCAAACATGCAAAATCCAACCATCTCCTGTGCTTCAACAAAAGCAATAGTATTGTGCTTTGCAAAGAGAAAATCTCAAGCAAAGAATCTAAGTGTTCAACCCTGTGTCCTCTGCCCTGGTTCTCCCAGAAGACGGCCCTGTTGCACGACAAGGGTGCATTTGCCACATAGTAGAAGCCTCTACACTAAAATCTATCTTCCTCATTTACAAAGGCTTCCAAGTCATGTCCTACATAATTCAAATTAGGAGAGAGTTTTTTATGGCAACAAGCCCCTGATACGAACTTGGACCCGCTGTGACGTCCAAGCTGACTGTTTCCAGTGGTCTGCCTGTTGGTAGCTACCCACCAGCCACAGGACAAGTGGCTGTTCATAGGATTGTACATACGGCTTTGTTTCTGTTGGAAATGTGTTTTATTTTCTCTATAAAATAATGGGTGATCTTTAAAATTGATTTTAGATGGTTTGAGGCATTACAGCACAGAAGTAATGTACGCTAATGGCAACGATATTGGACACAAATTCATTTCAGCTTTATTTCATGTCTAAAGCAATTCTACTGAGCCTTGAATGGCTCATGTGCCGTTATTAACTCGCTGGGTACCTAACACATGGGTACCGCAAACGAAAGTGATCAGAGTCCAGGCTGATGGAGACCTCAAGGCTACTGTCCCCTTTCTTCTGTTATAATTCAATTTCCAATTTGACTGTACATTAGGTTTCTTAGTTCCCAGTTTTCTGCTGAATACTGCCACCTGGAGGACATGAGGGGAAGAAGGGAGAGAACAGGTCATCCAGTTCCATTGAAGACTGGGGGAAGAAAAGGTATTCAGGATGGCCTGCCTGACTACTCATCTTCACAGGGCCCTGAAAGAGTACAAAACCAGCTGGCCTGCGGAGCATGGTCTTATTTTTATTTTTTATTTTATTTTATTTTATTTTATTTTATTTTATTTTATTTTATTTTATTTTATTTTATTTTTGGTTTTTCGAGACAGGGTTTCTCCGTGTAGCCCTGACTGTCCTGGAACTCACTCTGTAAACCAGGCTGGCCTCGAACTCAGAAATCCGCCTGCCTCTGCCTCCCAAGTGCTGGGATTAAAGGCGTGCACCACCACTGCCCGGCCATGGTTTTATTTTTTTAATCTTGCGTCTTGGTGGCTAAGATTAAGCCACCAGGTCTACACGGGTATGAATTTGAAAGAAACAAAGAAAAAACTACTTTAGGATATTATTCATGTTTTCATTTTGTGGCCAGATAGTTTACAGTGTAAAATTTCAAATATAAATCTTTAAGAGTCTGGAGTGATGGTGTTCACTTACAATCACTTACTCTTGGGAAGCTAAGGCAGGAGAATCAAGTTCCAGGCTAGCCCAAACAACATTATGAGACCCTCTCAAATAACAATGATAACAACAACAATAATAATAAATATTTTTAATTTTAAAAATGTGACCTCTGGGAGGACCGGAGGGCACAGGTGCCTCCTCTTGGTGACACTTGTTTTGCCAGTGCCGTGTCCACCACCGTAACAGAAGAAAGAGCCTTTGTTCTCTGTAGCCATATCTGTGCCACATTTTAAAATAAAAAAAATAAAAAAATAAATAAAAAAATTAAAAAAAAATCTAATAGTAGAAAATCAACTTCAAGCTAACTATAAAGAGTACTTTGAAAAACAATCAATAAATCATAGTTGGTAGAAGCCTCCATAACAATAAATGCATAGGCTGGATATGGTGAGACATGCCTTTAAACCCATCACTTAGGAGGCAGAGGCAGGCAGGGTTCTGTGAGTTCAGGACTAGCCTAGTCTACATAGTGAGTTCTAGGACAACCGGGCATACATACTAAGACCATCTATCTATCTATAAATAAATAAATAAATAAAGTATTTTCAAGCCTTTATGCCAGGAGTTTCACAAATCAGCCTACAGAATTTTAAAGGAATTTCTGAAAATATATTTACAATGCAAGTTAAAAGTTGTCCCCCTCCCCATGGTAACTATGCTAGACAAAACAAGGCCTGCTTTTCCTCTGAATTGGACATACTGACATCTAGTTTTTCTTAATGGGGTTTTATTAAGCATATTATATAGTGGTTCAGTTGAAGAAAAAGATGGTTCACAAAATCATTTAATTCTATGGATGCCCTGATCTCCGTCCATGGGAAGCGCCCTACGTACATCTGTAGAATGTGGTTTAATGTTGAAAAAAGAAAGTTAGCTCAGCCTACTTACCTACTCACCAAGAGAGAAATAATTTAAACCTACAAATTCTCGTTCAAACATATTCATAATCTATGTTGTGGTGCCCTCTATTGAACATAAAGATTTATATATTAAAAAAATTATGTGTACGTGTGTGTGTGTGTGTGTGTGTGTGTGTGTGTGTGTGTGTGTGTTGTAGGGAGTATCTCTTCTGTGTGCATATCTGTGTGTGTGCCTTTGTGTCTGTGTCTTTTATTAAAAAAAAAAAAAAACACCATCAACAAATTTTCCCACCATAGTCATGGTGGCACACACTTAATAAACCCAGCATCTGAGAGGTAGAAGCAGGAAGATCACAAGTTTGAGGTCATCCTCCATTACATAGTAGTTCAAGGACAGCCAGGGCTGTCCTAAAACAACAACAAAAAAAAACGAATAAAAATTATGTAAACCCACAGTCTAACTGTGGGGTATGTTTGCAATCTCTGGGATACATTCTTTATAGAAGAGTTGGCTCCCATTCATAGCAATTAAACCTAGGAAATGAGTAGGGCCTCTGTCACAGTGGGACACTTACGAGCTTATAACTCCAGTCTGTAACTTTATGTCTCTGTCGCTATTGTAAGAGCTTATGACTTATAATTAGGAGAACAAATATGAAAATTACAGTCACAAGGGACAATGGATGCTGGAAAATTCACAATCACGGTGACCCCCAGTTCAGCTGGCAGTGGTCACTCTGCTGTGCCCAGAACACAGGACCTCAGCCTTCCCTACAGTTTGTACAGCTGAGACAACCCCACCTGCCAAGACTGGAAAGTACTGAGACAAAGCACCTACAACCTCAAGCCTGCACAAGATCAACACATGACTCTTTGACAGCCAATCAGAGTGTCTCCAATTCCTCCCTAAGAGTCGGCCTGAATATGCATTGTGCCCATATTAAGTATATATTATTACACAAATGACCTTAAAATGAAAATTTCATTTTACATTATACATGCATACATATGCAGAGATACTTTGCTTTCATGGAATTTTAACAACTTAAAAAAAAATTTACATAAAAATCAAATTTAAGTCTATGCTCATTATAGCCTGTAACCGGCACGTGTCCTCTCTAATGTCACTGATTCCAGAGGCCTCTCACCAAATGAGGGACTGGCCACAGACGGATGACCCCACTTAACGGGGAAGCAGTGACTGCCGCAGAGCGGACAGCAAGGTGTGCTCAGGCACAGAGCTCAAGTGCTTCTCACCAGTCATGGATGGCTGCTATTCATGCCCAAACTGGACCAAACAGGAGAGCTGCGTGGAGGAACATGATACAGAAATCATCTGTATCACTCAGCCGCTGGGCCCAGTTCAAAGCCAACTGGAACTGTCATTCATTCATTCATTCATTCATTCATTCATTCTGTGTGCCTGGTTGTGGGAGAGGTGTGCATACCACAGGATGAATCATGTGGACCAGAAGACAACTCTCTGAAATCTGTTCTCTCCTGTACCACTGGGGTTGCAGGGACCCAACTCATAACATCGTCGGGCTTGACTGAAAACACCTTTACCCGTTTTGGGGGTTTCTTTTTTTTTTTAACTTTTAAATTAGATCTATTCAGTTTCTTTTTGTGTATGTTAGAAATAAATGTTCACACATCATAGTTGAGTATCATGAGAAAGCTATCTGCTCCGTGATTTGATCCTAAGATGACAACTGATTTTTTTTTTAAAGACGTATTTATTGCCGGGCGGTGGTGGCACACGCCTTTAGTCCCAGCACTTGGGAGGCAGAGGCAGGCGGATTTCTGAGTTCGAGGCCAGCCTGGTCTACAGAGTGAGTTCCAGGACAGCCAGGGCTATACAGAGAAACCCTGTCTCGAAGAAAAAAAAAAGAAAGAAAAAGTATTTGTTTTTACTTCATGTGTAAGAGTGTTTGTCCTGTATGTATGTCTGTGCACCATGTGCGTGTCAAGTGCCCGAGGAGGCTGAACATGGCCTTTGAGTCCCTCGGTACCAGGGTTTCAGAGGGTTGTGAGCTGCCATGTGGGAGCTGGGAACTGAACCTGCATCCTCTAAAAGACCTTACCTACTGAGCCATCCCTCCAGCTCTGAGATCAAATTTTAATTAATTTAGGCACAGCACCAAGAGTTCCCAAATGCAAGTGGAAGCTTCTAGGGAAGAATAATTTATAAGCTCTCTGTTCAGTCCTATAACGTGTCTGTGCCTCTATCCCTGGCACACAGCCTCTCTGTTCAGTCCCATAACATGTCTGTGCCTATATCCCTGGCACACATCCGCTGGGTGAAAGGTCAGTGCGTACTTTTCAGAGTTCTTTCCAAGCAGTTAATTATCTGAACAACATAACTCCCAGCAAGGAGAGAGATGCGCCGTCTATACCACTCCACGCCACAGTTCAGTTCCCAGCACCCACATGGCAGCTCACAACTGCCTATAAATCCAATTTCAGGGGATCTGACACCTCCACACAAACATACATGCAGGCAAAACATGAATGTACATGAAATAAAAATAATCATATTTTTAAAATAATATAATATTATTAAAACATATAATAAATATGAATTATTTATTTATATATAAAATATATAAAAAATATATTATAATAATAATATTATTATTATTAAAAACCCAGAGTTTTCCCTAAGGGACAAATGATGAAAGTCTGGACCAGCGCTTTGTTCTGTCACACCTGTGACACCACAAGGGACACTTCTGTGATGTCGGCAGAGGCCTCAGCTCATAGAACAGTTCCTCTGGGTTCTTTTCACAGGGGTCCCTCCAGTGTCAGTGTCCCTCACTCAGCTCATCAGCTCCCAGCTCTCTGCGTGTCCCAGGGACCTCCTGGAAGGAAAGGCACCATGCCAATCTAATAGAAACATATTAATATTCATGTGCACACTTAATACCCAGACCCTTTATAAGTGAGCGAGCCATATGGGGGAAAAGCGGCATGCTAGTTCAGACCAGCTCGGGGTCCGATGAAGTGAACTCAGAAGGAGATAATTTCTGATCCCAGAGCCACTACAGGAGTAGACAGTGGAGTCCCACCTCTAACTGGTACTCGCCTGACTCTTATCTACAAGATGGAAAAAGAAGCTCACAGCTGTTTTAGCCTTGAGCACTGAAGTAATAACTGCCAACACTCAGAAATTAGGTCGTCAGACACTGCTGTAAGTGCTTGGCAGTCCTTAGCCCACTTAACTGCCTCGGCCCTTATGGGGAAGGGCTTGTCCCCGTTTTATAGATGACACCATGTAGGCCCAGAGAAAGCAAAAGGCTTGCCTGATTCCCAGCTACTAAAGTAGCAGATCCAGGATGTGAACCCTGGCAGCTCGGCTTCAGAATCTGTGTGCAAATCTTTGGGGGACAGGCCTCCTATCCTGGCACTAGGGAGGAGGGGGTGAGACAATGGGATGTCCTAGTGGCATGGACTCCAGGCAGCTCCCGAGGGAAGTGTGGAAGTGTGTCCCCATCGCAGAAATCAGAGTCAACCTACTGAGACCACTCAGATGACACACGCACTTGACAAACAGCCCTCTGCAAGGACGAATCGAGCCATGCAATCAGAGAAGGGCCTTCAAGGCTATTCTGGTCTGACTGTTCTAACTGCTGTATCTGAAGCCAGTTTTAAAGAAGTGCTTCTTGTAAATACAAGGCACACTTATCTCCTGGGAAACAGTACTTTTGACAGCCATAGTCTTGAGTAACCGTATCTGCTTGGGTCGATTGTTGTTTGGAAGTATTGGTTGTATTTGTTTGAACTCACTGCAAAGCCTAGGTTAGCCTCAAAATCACAGAAATCCTCCTGCCTCAACCTCACCAGTGTTTCCATTAGAACTGTAGGCTGGCACTGTGTCTACTTCTCTCTTAAGAGACCATGTGTTTATTCTCTGATTCAGACATCCATTGTTTGCAGGTTCTGTTCGCATCTGTACCATTCAATGCCAGCCACAAGATGGCGCTCTAATACAGGATATGAATGTATGTGGCCAGCAGTCCAGCGGTATTTCAGAGCTGTAATCTTCCACACAGACCCCATCTGCCCACATCCCCTGCCTGGTGCAGACCCTTACTCACTTTCTGAGGAAATCTTCCAAGCCCTGGCGGCGCTGGTCGACGTGCTGGCGATTGTTCATGTTGAAAAATAGGTTTTTAGATGGGAGTTCTGGTAATTGTCTGGTAAGAAAGAAAAAGAAGTCAATCACCAAATCGCAGTGACTTAGCTACAGACATCCCTCAAACTGAAGGCACACCGTGCATGGTAATAATTATCCCACTGCTATCACCTAATTATTGTTGTATAATATTAATTTAAAGGAAAATCTGTCTTTAAACACTTCTGGGGCCATTCATGATTAATATCCATAAAAGCTGGTCAAGTTAAGAAATGGATATTAAATTCAGATGCAGTAGGCACAGAACTAACGAGAGGCAGCAGCGAGCCTGTGCCCTGTTCTTACCTCATGCATCTTAATCCTATCAACTTTCAGAACTAGACTGTCACAGCGGATCCCGGAGGTAAGATAAACTGTAAGTCAAGTCACTCACACCAGCAATGCGTTGCTTTGGAGCCTTTGCCTCAGCCACACGAATTCTCTATACCTTCTTCGTACACAAGATGTTTTCATTGTAAAACACATGCTATTCGTCTGTAGAGAAACAGAAAAACATGAGACTCACCTAAGGGAAAAAAGAATATATATACATATACATATACATATACATATACATATACATATACATATATATATATATATGAACTCATGACGTAACCCTCGCTCTAAGTAGTATGGGAGCCATGAAACATGCATTTATGTGTACACTGCAAAAATCTTACGTGTAACTTATCAGTCTCTGCCCCGAAGAAGCCACAATGACTTGAATGAGCAGTGTTAGCCCTGGGCAGGCATGGCCCACTTCTGACCAGAGTCCTGAAGGAGACCTGTGCTCTCCTAACTACAAGCATGGTTTCCAAAGATGGATCACTAAGGAAAACTCTAGGGAACATGGTTGCCCACCCTGCCATCTCAGACTCAGGCAGGAGGCAGGAGGACTGGGTTCCAATCCGGCCTGGATTACACAGTGAGATCGAGTCTTGATACACACACACAAGTCCTAAAAGGCACAGTGCCCAGGCGCATCAACTGCATTTTCATCAACACCATCCCGAAGCGTCTGTGGACCAGAACTGACTTCCTGCAGTCCTTCCCAAAGCATCACAGACATCTGCATCTCAGCATGGACGCCACCCATCTCTGGGAATCCTGAAGTCACTGATCACCTAGACAACCTTTTCCTGCCCTACTAGACATTGGGTGATCTGAGTCAGGACCACAGTGGTCGGGCTCAGCATCAGTGCTCACGGCAAGCATAAACGTCAGCCCTGATTCTCCTCCAGGAAAATGACATCAGCTCTTGTTCCCTGAGTGGAGCAAACAGGGTGGATGTGGAGATGAGAAAGCACCTAGCAGGTATAGTTGATACCGTTAGTTACCAACTGTCTGTTTCCCTGGAGCAGCCCTGAGACAGACTTGGGGAAAAAAAACAGGTAGAAGTCCCCAGCCTAAGCCATATTGTCACTCCTCTGGGTAAATACAAGATGAGCAAATAGTCTCCTCTGGGTAAACACAAAGGTGACAAGCATCCATGTCTACTCGTTTCAAAAAACAAGGCCAACTCGGCTGAGTGTGGTGGCTCACACCTATAACCCAAGGACTCAAAGAGGCTAAGGCAGGAGGATGGCCACCTGTTTGGGGGCAGTTTGGGCTACAGGGTGAATTCCAGGCAGTCTGGGCTACAGAGTAAGATCCTGTGTAAACATCTCAACCACCCCTACAAACAAACAAACAAACAACAAAAACACCCTCTATCTTACATATCCTTTTTAAACCAGGATCCACTTCGTAATCATTACATTGCTAAATGAGAAATTAACTTTTGGTACTAAGGTCTTCATTATTTCAAAGCCTATCCTGCCAATGATGTTCGGCCGTTTTCTTGACTGTACATTTTGTTCATGAGCTGTCCCCATGAAACACAGGGCAAAGTTCCTGGGTTTGGGGAGGTTAAGAGACTCACCTGCAAAGACCACAGTACTACAGCCAGCCACTTACGCTGCCACAGAAGCAAAACCTACCAGAGATGCCTAAGGAAGGCATCATCACATTCTGAGAGACAACTTCAAAGCACAGCACTGCCTGACTAATGCACTCCTTGGGGACCAAGGACATCCTCTCAGTACCCTCTCCTCAGAGAGAGCCAGGCCACCGCAGGGAGTTCTTACATCGCCAGTATAAGCTGGGCCCATGTAAATCTAGTTTCCGGAACATAGGCATGTCGGTAACAAAACCCCACCTGATATCGATACCAGAATAAGGTCCATCCGTGAGTCCCTCAACTAGACGATAGGGTCAGGGGAAGATACATGAAGGGCCATATCTATCATTACTGGTTTATAACCCCAAGCAAATATGGACATTCCAGAGTCACCTGGTATCATATCCCTTGAGGTTCATTTGCAAGAACGGATCCCCGAGGATGCCCTCAGAGCTAACGAATGGAGCCTAACCAAAAGCCTCACTCACCTACCTGCTTTAAATTGTACCACGATAGCAGGTCTGCACTGACTGACTCAGTCCCTCTGTGTTAATCTAAAATGGTTAATACTGCATCTCTTTCCCCCAAAATTCTATGTTCCCTCAAAATTTAAGATTTACCCAATAATATATTATCTTGAAATATAACATCACAGGTTGGAGAGATAGCTTAGCAGTTAAGAGCATTGGCTGCTCTTCCAGAGGTCCTGAGTTCAATTCCCAGAAACCACATGGTGGCTCACAACCATCTGTAATGGGATCTGATGCCCTCTGGCACGCAGGTGTACATGCAGATACAGCATAAATAAATAAATAAATAAATAAATAAATAAATAAATAAATAAATAAATCTGTTAAAAAAATGAAATATAATATCACAAAGGAATACCATTGATAAGTTATACTCTTTAACTGTTCATTTTTTAAGTACTCACATCTTTATAAATAAAGGTAATCTTTTAAACAAGTACAATTTGAGCTTCAGAGAAGCAAGTCTTCAGCTGCCTGCTTCATTTGTAATACAAACTTAGCTATAAACATCCTGACTCAGTTCTCTGAATTAAAGAGGTTTGTCAGCTCTTAGCATCATTCTGTCACATAAAACATTCAGCACCTAAAGCCTGTTTCCTACTGGCTGGGTACTTACGTGAATGCATATCTCATAGTCAATATAAGAGTGCCAAAAGTCCTCCTTCTGAATCCTGGGGTCTCGGACCCAGACACTCACGAACTCCTGTAAGGGCATCGGGAACAAAGAACAGCGTCGGGATTACGGAAAGGGCTGGAAGGAGCTAGAAGAACAGGACTGGAAGTACCAGCCAGTGTGCTCGCTGTCCCTCAGAAAGAAGGAAGTAGAGATCATGAATCAGGTGTCACCAGAGTCCAGAAAACACTTTGCCACAAATGGAAACTTTTAAATAATGCAAAACTGAGCAGAGAGTGCTTGTGGACGGTGTTAAGGGTATCTGAAGACAATCAAGACGATACATTCCGAAATTGGTCCTTAATACTCAATTGTGAAAACTTGCCATTTGTCTCAGCTTCTCAATGCAATAGTTACTAATACCATCTCAAATAGCTAAGACCTGTCTAGCAAATAAAGGACACAAAGAGTAAACAAAGGTCCCATCGGGGACTGAAAACATCCAGCCCAGCCTCGTGAGCATGGGCCACGGGAACTTAATAGGAGAAGACACACGCCCTCTCTCCCGAGATTTTAAAATATAGTCTCTATACACCAAGTTCCTTCCCCTTCATGTCTGTGTTATGAGTAAAAGGGAAGTTTTCTAAAGCAGAGGCACAAGGGCACAACTGTAACCCCAGCACTTGGAGATGGAGGTGGGAGAGGGGCCATGAGTTCCAGGCCAGGCTCAGCCACAGAGCCAGAGTCTGAGTCAAAACAATAAAACAAATTAGTAAGTAAACACACAGAAAAATACATTGTGGATAATTGTGTTTGTTGGGCTGGTGAGATGGCTCAGTGGTTAAGAGCACTGACTGCACTTCCAGAGGTCACGAGTTCAAATCCCAGCAACCACATGGTGGCTAACAACCATCTGCAATGATATCTGATGCCCTCTTGTGGGGTGTCTGAAGACAGCTACAGTGTACTTACATATAATAAATAAATAAAAATTAAAAAAAAAGATTTATAATTGTGTTTGTTTTTAAAGACAGTAAGAGTGGAAGACAGGAGTTGGAGAGAGCGTGTGTGCTCTTCCTGAGGACAGAAGAGTCTGTTCCCAGCACCCACATGGTAACTCTAGTTCCTAGGGGATTTGACCCTGTCTTCTGGGCTGTCTGGACAATGTATGCTTGCTTGTGGTGCACAGACATACATGCAGAAAGAACACCTAGACATACAAAGATTTTTAATTTTTTTAAAAGATTCAAAACAGAAGAGGAAGGCAGGCCATGGGTCTGGACAGACCTCTGTGGTGTTGTTCAGACAATAAACAAGAGGTGTTCTTCAGTCTGTAAGATACTTTTCAAAAGCAGGAAGGTAGTTCCTGTTTACTGACAGTAACATTACACTCAGCAGGTCCTGTCTTATAAAGTAGCACACCCTCTGATCCTGCATTTGAGAATCTGTCTCATTGCCTGCCCTCAGGGTCCTAGGGAGGCAGAGGCAGGCAGATCTCTGGAAGTTCACGGCCAGCATGGTCTACAGAGCAAGTTTCAGGACAGCTGGGGCTACACTGAGAAACCTCATCCTGAAAAACAAAACAATACAAGTAAATAAATAAATCTATGTTTGCTTGGCCAGTAGGAAGGAGGATGGGAAGGAAGTAAGGGGGAGGAAGAGAGTGATGGAGAGGGAGTTAGAGTTCACAGCCATACCACCCTGAACGCATCCGATCTCATCAAATAAATAGACTGCGAAGAGAAAAAAGACCACAAGTCTTCAGAAGACAACACCCCCATCCAAGCCTTCCAACCTTGAATACCTAAGGCTCTGTTCTGGCTTTTATGGGCTTTCTTTAACCTAAAAGTTCTGTCTTCTAATTTTAAAAGAAATCACAATAGTTTCACTGGCCCTCAAAAGCAGTGTTGTCCTTGGCACTGTCCTAGTGGAGGACTAAGGGACGGTTCAGAGTCACCGTGTCACGTGGAAGCCACATTCCCAGAGGGTATTGGTAGTACCAGTTTTCCATGGAAGAGGTACACATCCTCGGATGAGTCGAATGGAAGAAGCCAACTCTTTCCAACCACTGAATGTCACACGTTAACAGAGATGGAAAGCATGTGTCCTCATTGAAATGGCAGAAGTGGAAGCCAGGCACGGAGGCTCATACTTAGAACCCCAGCACTCAGGAAGTGGAGGCAGGATTGCCCAGAGTTCAAAGCCCTTAGCCATGTACTGAGTTCCAAACAAGTCAGGTACACAAGGTGAGACTCCGTGTCAAAAAACAAACCCACAGCCAGAGAACTGGAAGGAAGGGCAGACGCACATCTGCGATCATCTGAACCGTAAACTCCACATCTGCCCGAACACACAGCATCTTAGCAATCCACTGTGGCAACACAGTCAAGTGGCACCTACATGCTTTTCTCACCGTAATTCTTTGCTGGGCTCCAGTTGCTGGCATTCCAACTTTGGACAGAATTTCTAGTCACAAAACTATAAATAAATCCTAGTTTGCCCACCTCCTGCAATGATCAGATCACCAAGCCTCCCTTTCTGCCCTCAAGAAAAAGGGTTTCCGTCCCTATTTCAGCTGTCAAGCAGATCAAATAACAAAACACCACGGAAAACATCTGGAAATGTTCCACTAAAGCTAAACAAATAGAAAGCAAGTCACACCAAGGGAGAAGTTTAGCAACTCAGAGTGCCGGCAGTAAGAAAAAAGAAAAGCTAGCCAGGCATGGTGGCGCTGGTCCTTAATCCCTGGCACATGGGAGGCAGAGGCAGGAGGATATCTGAATTCAAGGTCAGCCTGGTCTATGGACATGAAAGTTCTAGGACAGCCACGGCTATATAGAGAAGCCATGACTCAGAAAAACAAGAAGGAAAAGGAGAGGAGAAGGAAAGGAGGAAAGGGAAGAGAATAGAAAGAAGAAAATCTAATCTAGGCCTTGTTAATGAAGGAGAAAATCCAATATAAGAAAAAGAAATGGGGGGGTAGAAAATTTAATCCAAGCCTATCAGTACGTACCCATAATTCCAGCACTCAGGAGCAGAGTCACTTCATAGTGAGTCCCAGGCCAGTCAGGGGCCCAGTGAGACCTTGTCTCAAATCACCATGATCACACTGGGCCATCCTCCCTCCTTCCCTTCCTTCCTTTCTTCTTTCCTTCCTTCCCTCATTCCTTCTAGGTCACCATATAACCCAAACTAGCTTTGAACTCTCAATCCTAACTCCCCCAACACACCTCAGTTCCCAAGCCCAGATTTCTCTGACTTAAGGCTCCAGCCATAGACTGGTCCACTCTGTCAGACTTTCTTCCTGTGTACCTAAGTCCTCCCTAGAGCAACAGTCCCTACACCCTACCCTGATCCCCTGCAGAGAACAGAGCCTCCTAGGACAGAGAGCTAAAGAACCACACAAGGCTCCGCCTTCCAGCAGTTCCATAAGTGGTGACCATTACTGGAGAGAGCAGACTCCATTAACAGCTGCCTGAGGTTGGGCAGAGAGCTCCAGAATGGCAGCAGTGCATAATGTCATTCATGTCCTTGAACACTGGTCTTCCTGGCTAGACTACTAAAGCCAGGACGTTTTCTTTTTCTTCCTTCTGCTTCCTACCCCAACCCTTTTCTTGCTTCTTGTTCCCTAATCCAATCACTTTCCAAATACACCTCGGTCAACACTTGTCAGATTTCTCCTGGTGTGATTTATTTGACTATCCTGAGAGTCTCTTGCTTCCTGGCTCTCAGTACTAACCCGTGAGCCTCCATTCCTGGATCCTACTATAAGCAACTTGGGCTGGCTTTCCAGACAAGAATGCCTGACACTATCAGTGTCCCTACCGACATCAGACATCAGTCAACCAATCAGCGGGTGCCCGCAAAAATGAGCAAATTGCCTTCGTGGGGAAAACTAAATTAAACTTCAGCTGGAATATAAGCCTCTTCCCCCTGGCCTCTTGGACACCACTTATCATTGAATTAAGTTATTTCCTGGATGGCCTCAAGTTTATCTTAATTTACCTATCCCATCCTCCAAGGGTGTACCAATTAACCATAGAAGGCAACCGGTGCAGTGCTTAAGATCTATGAGAACAAACTGTCTTCAAACACCCTAAAGAACTTCAGAAATGCCTATTTACATAGAAATAATTGAAAATCACTCTGATGCCCTCAGTAACTCTGTCCCCTAAGACTTGCACAGGGCAACAATTTGTTAGCCTAGTTGGAGTTAAAATATGTACTTGAACGTAATAAAAGTGCATTTATTTTTAAAATATTCCGTAATTCGGATGGACCTCTCCTTCCCCCACCCTGCAATTAGTAGGAATTAGTGAACTTTCAACACACTTCCAGCTACGAACAGCATGCCCAGACAGCCGAGGTTCACCTATAATCTCCTTAATTAGACGCATCCCTCACGACCTGCCTACCATCCTTCACAGGGATGCTGACAGGCTGTCTGCCACAGAGGACAGCCCCATGTCCCATACCTGGAATCATATGGATTTCCTATGGAAATGGCTTCCAAAGGCGCTGTTAGTCAATTTAATAACCTTATTAAACACTTTAATGACTTCTTGGGCCTAATGACTACATCTGCTATGAAAGGAAATGCCAGGAGGAGTAGAATTAAAAATTTAAAGTAACTGATCCTTACTGCAGGCCATGAGGTCTGTGAGAACCCAATCACTGTGTGCTCTTTGATTTCCATGGCCCCTGCTTCTCCCTGACCCCTGACCCCTGACACAGCTCCAACCTTATCTGTCTGCCCAGCCTCTTCTTCCCTAACAGCTGGGCAACACTGCCCCAGTTCTACAGAGAAGACAAGCTTAAGCAACCAGTCCAAAAGTCAGATGACCAGCAAGACCGGCTGAGTTTAGAACCTGGATTTGCCTCTTGTCCAAAGCCTAGACTCTAGCGGTTCCTTTGGCAGCAATATGATGTCACCGTGTTCCCACTCAGTGGGATCATCTGCTATTATAGCTGGCTCTTCTGCAGCTGCCCCTCCCACCCAAGATGACACAGGTTTGGTCACTGTGTCTCCTTTAGGCTCCTTTTGCCCTGTGTCACTCTCACAGGCTTCCCTGGGTTTTGGTGACCTGGATGATTCTGAGAACCTGCTGTGTCTTCTGTAGATGTTCCTCAGTCAGGGTTTATCTAGTGTTTGTCTCAGGTCTAGACTGGGGGTTCTCCGTGTCTAGAAGGATGAAGCCCCATCGGCACATCAAAGGCACCTGCTGTCCCCGGGAGTCTTCACCGCTGTTTTCCTTTGGTCACCTGGCTGAGGCAGGTGACTGGCTGATTTTTCCATCATAAGTTTACTGTTTCCTGTCTGCTAATAAATGTGAAGACAAGCATATGCTGATTTTTTTTCCAGTCACTTCTAATTTAGTTATAGCTGGCAAAGTAGTTCTAATATTCAAAACGTATTAGAATGCTAACATGAAAGAGAGGGATATTAAACTATAAATCCAATATGCTCTCCGTTTTCTAAAAATGCACACACATTAAGTACAAGAAAGGGCTGGAAAGGAATAGCCCAGGCGTCTGTCTTTTCCTTAGAATGCATATTCTGTAGTGAACAAATCTTTTCAAATCTGGGAGATGGAAATAAAATCTTTTGTTGAGACTCAGATGGAAACACAGCTCTCTAGTGACTGTCACACAAATGGGCTCAGAATGAGAGCAGCGCTCCTTGGAACCTGCAGCGTGGGATGATTGGCTTTCCAGGCTGCTTTGGTTTTCTTACCCAAAACTATACTATTCATTTTTATCTATTTATTTTTATGCTTACGGGTATTTTGCCATAGAAAGGGTGCCATTTTTCAGTAGGAAACTCAGTAACCAAGTAGAATTCCAGCAGTTGAGAATAAGAAGAGGCGTGGAATTGAAAGGACAAGAAAAAAAAGTAAATTTAGGTTTAAGAGAGTGTTTAAAGGGTCATAAGACACGAGACACTAGTCTCGATGGTTTTAGTGATAGTCTTTTGCTTAAACCCTACACAGTTTCCAATCAGTATCCAATATCAAAAGCTGCACTGCACCCCTGTGTTTTCAGGGTGCAGGATGCAGCTCAGTGGCAGAATGACTGCTACGTGTTTGCTAGTCTCAGTACTACAAAAGCGCAAGCAAAAAATACCAAAACTAGGTATCATGGTCGTGGTGTATACCTGTAATCCCAGCACTTGAGAGGCCCAGTAAGAGATCACCACACGTTTGAGGCCTACCCAGGCTAAATAATGAGTGGCAGGGCCAGTCTGGACTACACAGTGAGACCTTGCTTCAAATCTCTAAACAAAGAAAAACTAACTTTCTTTTTTTTTCTTTTTTTTTTCTTCAAGCCAGGGACTCTGTGTAGCCCTGGCTGTCTTAGAACTTACTCTGTAGTCCAGGTTGGCCTCAATTCATAGAGATCCACTTGCCTCTGCCCGCTAAGTGCTGGGATTAAAGTGTGCACCACCAATGCCCAGCCACTGCCCTTTCTTAAAGGGAGTCCAAAATGTTTCCATTGGTAACTAACTGTATCTTAAACCTAGTAACACTGTTTCTTAAACCTAGTAACACTGTTGATCCATTCAGTAGGGCTCTTCATCTAAAATGGCAACAGATCCCTGGCATCTCTTGTCGCACTCTTTCTTCTGTTGGTGATGGAGTCCCAGTGGTATGTGGAACTCTCTTGGGACACTTGGCCTTGCCATATTCTGGATATTCCATGTCAAACTCACCCAAGCCAGGTGTGGTGGCACAAACCTTTAACCCCAGCACTCAGGAGGTAGGGGCAGGTGTTTCTCTATGAACCTGAACTCATGTTCAAGACTAACTTGGTCTACATAGTAAATTCTAGACCAACCAGGGCTACATAGTGAGACCCTGTCTCCAAACACCAAAAGAATAAAAACAAAGAACTCACTCAAGTGTTGATAACTGATGGTTGCCTGAGAGTCTGTTATTATTCCCCAACACAAAGTAAATGTGCTTTGAAGAAGAAAATTCCATATCTTTAAGGTATAAGTCTCTAAAGTAGTGTTTCTCAATTTCCCTAAGGTTGCAATCCTTTAATAAAGTTCCTGATGCTGCAGTCTCCCTCAATGATAAAATGATTTTCATTGTTGCTACTTCATAACTGCAATTTTGCCACTGTTATGAATCATCATGTAAACATGCAGGATAGCTGATAGGCAACCCCTGTGAAAGGGTTGGTCTACCCCAAAAGGGGTCACGACCCACAGGTCACTGCTCTAAAGGGAGAATGCAGCTATCATGACCCGGGAAGCGGGGAGACACACACATGAACACATGTACACAGACATAAAGAGTCTAGGAGGGATGCTCCAGCTACGGTGGCTGAGGAAGGAACAGGACACACTCCCGGGAGAGCAGCAGCCCAAGAGGGTTAAGAACAGGAGGTGAGTCTAGGAAAACAAGCTATCCAAGGCTGGGGACAAAGGTTCCCCCCCCCCCTGCTGTGGTGGCATAATGCTGCTCATCCCGGGCATTAGAATATAAAAAGGGCAACAATGCCTGACTCCACAAAAGATGCTGACTGTGTCCCCTGTCACACCCACCTGCCTTTCCATTTGGATCCGGGTTCTGTCTCATTAAACACAAGGGTTGATTCAGTTGGGCCCGCCTAATTATTCTTATTAAAATATGTAACCATAATATTTTAATTGTAAATTAAAGCTGCATGCATGAATGAGTCTGAATTCATTTTAATTTTACAATGGCCCAATGCCAGGCCCTTTTTATAGGGACAATCCATCAGCGGAGATACTGCTCGCCTGGGAATTCAAACCAATGTGCAAATGGAACGCGTTTAACTAACAAGGGAGACTCCCACTCCCTTCTCTCCTCTGGCTGGATTTATTATGGTAATAAAGCTGCTTCGACAAGAGAGACGACGTTTCCCAAATCTTTTTTAAAAATTACCAAACCTCGAGGCTGGCACCACCAGCTCTGACTGGCATGTCACTCCTGGCCATCTGCATCCTGAACAATGATGGCAAGTAGGTCTTAGTCCGCATGCCAATCCCATGATTAATTAGGAATGGCTGCTATCTATGGGTATCAACTGGAAAGTGCTTATACGAATACTAAACTAACTCCTAGGACAACCAGTGATACTGCATTTGACCCTTACATGTGTGATTAGGGGGATCTCGACTTTTATTACACTGAACAATAATCAGTCACTGGGCTCTACAGACCTTGATAAGTCTAGCGGGCCTTGAATACAGGGTATTCTTGGAGTAAATCAAGAAGATGAAAATACTCTGTGTGTGTGTGTGTGTGTGTGTGTGTGTGTAAATTGTTGATTTTAGGTCTTGAGAGATTGCTCAGAGTGTTGGTTGTATGAACATATGTAAATCTAAACTCCAGAATACAAATAAACACACACATACACACACACACACACACACATACACACACATACATACAAATCTGGTTGTCCTGGAACTCACTCTGTAGACCAGGCTGGCCTGGAACTCAGATCTGCCTGCTTCTGCCTCCCAAGTGCTGGGATTAAAGGTGTGCACCACCGCTGCACAACAAAAATACCTTTTTAAAATGAGGCTGTTAGAAGTCTCTTTTTGGTCCCCAAATGAAGAGAAGGCCTGAAGGAACAGAAGGCATCAGTCTCCTTCAACAATGTATGGGAACAAGGAGGGGCTGCAGCTGGGCGACAGGGCACTAATAGAAACAGCCCAGGGCCAAGACTGCACAGAGCTTTCGAGGTTCCAGAATAAGCTCAGAAACAGAGAGCAAGAAGTGCCCCGGAGCTGGAGAGAGAGAAGAAGGAAGTCTGGAGAAGACACTGGGCCTGTAGGTACCTAGAAGCCAAATGCAGGGATTCTGGCTATGCTCAAAAGGCTAGAGCTTAGCATTGTGGGTCCACATGGAGCATAAACAAACAGCTGATAAGCAGCCAGATGTTATACTACAGCACACCAGGATCTCACCTCTCTACGTTTATTTCTTCCTGAACACTGTACATCTATTTGAACGTCTATTTGAACGTCTATTTGCAGTATGTTTTTCCCTTCCCCACTGAAGAAATTGGCATTTTTAAATTGATTAATGATATAAGATTGTTGTGAAATCATTTAATCAGAGATGACTTTTTTTTTTTTTTTCGAGACAGGGTTTCTCTGTGTAGCCCTGGCTGTCCTGGAACTCACTCTGTAGACCAGGCTGGCCTTGAACTCAGAAATCCACCTGCCTCTGCCTCCCAAGTGCTGAGACTAAAGGTGTGTGCCACCACCGCCCGGCCCAGAGATGACATTTTCAAGATCACTGATCTATTATCTTTATATAGTTGGCATGATGGTTAATATTGATTATCAGCTTGGCAGGATCTGGAATCACCCAAACAATACAGGGTATTCTTGGAGTAATCAAGGAGATGAAAATCCCTCCAGGCATGCCCACAAAGGATCTTGACTAGGTTAACTGAGGTGAGAGGTCTCACCCTAATCATGGGTGTCACCATTCCCTAGGCTTGAGTCCTGGACTTCAGAAAAGGAACAAAGTTGAACATGAGAACTCATAGCACTCTGCTTCCTGACTGTGGACAAACATGATCGGCTGTCTCGACCTCCTGCCACCACGGCTCCCCTACCATGACAGACTAAATCATCTGTGTTGAGCCAAAATTCGTGGGTTATTTATTTTCAGATTTTTCAGCCCAGACTTTTCATAAATGAAGAGCTAGCATCTTACCCCTTTCTGCTGTTCTGGAAACATCTTCAGCTCAGGACACGATCAACCTGAAAAATAAGGTATCAATGCTTGTGACATCAAATTTCTACTCTAGAGTCCCCCATACCCCAGACTCTTCAACTCTGGAACTCAATCTTTCATTCACAACTTCCGGGTCCCCTCCTTCCAGCCCTGTAAAAACAACAGATGACTTCAAAGTGTGATGTATGGTCAAGACAGACAGAACTCAGAGGGTGGAGTTGAACTGTGGCTATCTAAAAAACATTCTTACCCCAACTGCCAAGTCCTGTGAATATGGGTTTATTTGGAAATGCAGTTAAGAGTACACAGATACAGTCATTCTAGCTTATTAAAGTGAGTCCTAAATCTAATGACAAGACTCCTTTTTGAGTTGGGTGTCATATAGCCTATATGGTCCTTGAATTCACCTTTTAGCTGGTTCTGGTCTTCCTGCCTCTACTATCTAAGTCCTGGATTTAAAAGTGTCTGCCATCATACCTGGTGACAAGTATCCTCATAAGAGAGAAGATTGTCAGGTGTGGTGGCTCATGCCTGAGTCCCAGTACTCAGAAAGTTGAAGCACTAGGATCGTCATGAGTTCTAGGCTAGCCTGGGCTAGAAAGTGAGACCAAGAAGGAGGAGGCAAGGCAGGATCCTCTCCTAAACTTCTGGAGGGAGCAGCATCCTGCTCAGACCTCAGCTTTGAACTTCAGCCCTCCGGAATTGCCTAGGAACGCGTTTCTCTGGCTTGAAGGACCACATGTGTATTAATGCAGGAGGCACGTGCAGAGGGACCTATGTGGGGTGAACCACGATGGTGACCTGGGGGTACAACTTCGAATGTGGGGACTCGAACACTCAACAATAAGAGACCATGTGCTGACCCAGACGTGAGCAGAACACAAAGCAGACTCAGCCCATGAGATTACAATACAATTGCAACATGAGAATGACACGAGAGAATGGGTAAGGAGCCCTGTGACAAGACTGGAGGGACACACACCACAGATGAACCTGGAGGCCATTATGTCTAGGGGAAAAGGGACCATCTCAAAAACACAAATATGCAGGAAATGCCCACAGTTGTCACAGACAGAAGCAAAATGGCAGGAGGGTTTGGTGGTGCAGCTTGGGGATATTGTTCAACGGCAGTTTCAGTTCACAAGTTAAAGAACTCTGGAGACTGGTTATACATTGTCTGCAAGCAACTGAATCTCAACAAATGATTTGTATATTTACAAATGGCTATTATAGTAAATTATATATATATTTATATCTTATAATACCTATATAGTTTATATTCACACACGCATATGCACACGCACGCACACACATGTTCTACTGTTCTAGTTCCCTGCTCTACTGCATCTCTCCAACAGAGCAGAACTGTGGGTCTTTATGTGTATTTCCACCCTGTGAGGGGGACCTGACACGCTTACTGCACGTAGCTGACCAATCACACCTGCCCACAGTCTTGAAGGAAAAACCACAAGTGCCATTTCAACTCAAGCCCGTCTGTTTCCCTACTCCAATCCTGACTCAGGCTCCACGACAGCATAGCAGAGACAAATGGGGTCAGAGGTGAGGTCTTCCTCCCAGCCCCAGGGAAGAGTGAGTGGAGTCATCCCTAACCTCGGGTGGAAAAGGCCTTTCTAAGACACAGGGAGGGACTAGTGGGTTTTATTGTTAAGGAAACAAGTTTGATCTCTTTTCTTGGCTGACTTAGAGAAATATGGGTGATAGCTTAGTCAGGAAAGTGCTGTCTATACAAGCATGAAGTCCTCAGTTTGATCTCTAGCACTCATATAAAAAGCCAGGTATGGTGGCGTGCATTTGCAATTCCAGCTCTAGGGAGGCAGAAACAGGCCGATGCCCTGGGGGCAGCACAGTGGGAGGAGGGAGGAAGACTATGAATGAAAACCATCCAACAAACCCCTGTCCATATCTCCCCTGTGGATACGGGACCAGGTCCCAAGAGCGGATACCCACACCTGGGAACAGAGGGGCACCAATCAACCCTTCTAGTGTTCCCCGCTGTGTCTTACCATTTGCCTGGCATTACCTCCTCCAGCACACACCATCCTAGTCCTCAACAACATTGCCTCCTTAATACTGAAGAGACTTCCAGGAGACACTGTATCTAGGGAAGGTATCAGTCCAATGTCTCATTTCTCATCATAATTCTGCCTACAGAACGGTCACTGTTATAGTCTAACTCTTAAATAGCTGTCCATGTGTTCAAGGCCCAGCTCCACGTCAATGTGTTATCTAGAACTGGTAGATCTTTTTCTTTTTTCTTTCTTTTTTTTTTTTTTTAGAATTATTTATTTTATATATATGAGTGCACCATCACTGTCTTCAGACACACCAGAAGAGGGCTTCAGATGCTATTACAGATGGTTGTGAGCCACTATGTGGTTGCTGGGAATTGAACTCAGGGCCTCTGGAAGTCCTCTCAACCTCTGAGTCATCTCAGAAGGAAGTGGCAGATCTTTAGAAGATGGAGATTAGTTTAAGAATCATTGGAAGCATTTCCTCGAAGTCACTGGAACCCCAGTCTTGCCTCTTCCTGCACATTCAGCTACGATTTGTTGTCCCATGTCCTACTTACAAACAAGATAACCAACCACAGACCTACATCTCTGAAAACATGGACCCGAATCAATTCCACCTGCCTGTAAGGTTATTGGCAATGATAGAAAACTGAGCACACAGCTACTATATTAAAAAATAAAAATAAAAAAAAATTTAAAAAAAAAAAGTTACAAGCATGAATCTTAGTATCCAGGGAGAAAAAAGAGCACCAGGCAGGAAGAGCCCTGTGGGACAGGACCTATGTAAAGGGTTGGCTAAACATCCTGGGTCGGTCTCCAAAACATCAAAGAAAGTGAAAAAAAAGAGCTGGGCTGAGTAGTGTACACACCTTTAATCCCAGCACTCAGGAGGGATCAGCACTCTGAGTTCAAGGCCAGCCTGGTCTACAGAGTGAGTTCCAGGATAGCCAAATCTACACAGAGAAACCCTGTCTCGAAAAAAAAAATGAAAAAAGAAGGGGAGGGAGGGAGGGAAGGAGGGAGGGAGGGAGGGAGGGAGGGAGGGAAGGAGGGAGGGAGGGAGGAAGAAAGGAAAAGTAGTTGTTTCCAAGGCATCTGAGACTACAGGTTTGCAGTCCTCAGAAACTTACCAGCCCTCAAGATGAAAACTCCTTACCCTGACACCCAGTTCTTCAGAAGCATTTCCTCCAGAAAGCACATAGGAAGGAAAGGTGTGTTGTGTCAACCCTGGACCTGACCACTGCCCAGCAGGGGAAGCACTGGTCATGCTGCAGTTAACACTGTGGCCACTGTGCTGGGAAAGGCCTCTAACACTGAGCCTCCTAAGTAATGCTACCACACACAGGCAACAGGTCCTTGTAGCAAAGTTAGTGCACGACAACCTACAAAAAATACAAAATCAATATAGAGATTGACAAACCAGCAATCAATATAAGTACATGAGAATTTAAATCTGTGGTTTGTCTCAGGGGGGAAAAAAAAAGACAAAAGACCAGGAAAGAGAGAGCTTAGCAATTAGGAGGACTTGCTGTTCTTACAGAGGACACAGATTCAGTTCCCAGGCCTGGTAGCTCACAACCACCTGCAAACTCCAATCCCATTATAAGCCCTCTTTTAGCCCCTGTAGCCACCGATGCACACACAGACAACCAGATATACACACAAAAAAAAATAAATTTACCAAAACTTTAAACAGGCAAGTCAAATAATAAAAATCATTTATAACGTGACAAACAATGAACAAATCAACTCATGAAATGCTCCTGCAGGTCTACACCAACAAATATTTCTGTTAAAAAAAAAAAGGTAAGCAAGGGTTTCAACAATCAACACATAAAACAAAAACCAAAAAGTTACTTAAATAAAATTTACACAGAGCCTTTGATTTGGCCGGTGCTCTCATACTAGGCTCAACAGACTGATCAAGCCAGATGGCAGTCCCTACCCCATGCCAAGCCATCAGGGAACTTCGAAATTGAAACCAATGAACCACAAGGCCCTTTACACAAGGCAGCAGGATGAGCAAGCCCATTCTGTTCTAACTCAACAAGGAAGCAATCAGTCCACCTCTTCTTCTTCCCTGTCCGTATCTCTTGCAGCAAGCTTCTTCCTCCAGCCCTTGAACTGCGTTTGCCAATTCATCATGTCAGCCCATCGGAGTTCACGTCTGGTCGTATTTGAACGTGTGGCACAAGGAATCGAACTCAGAATCCTACACAGCTAGGCATGTGCTCCACCAACTGAGCCACGCCCCATTCTTCTTCTAGTGTTTAAATAATATAGTCCTTGGTTAATAATAATTATTATTATTGGAGTGACCTTTCATCTTTCTATGCACTGTATAAAGGTCGCCTTTGTCTATATTCAAACGCTGACCTCTGTGCCGGCAGAGAGTTGAGTGCAGACCGGACTTTGGTACTGTTATTCATACGGCTGTGTCATATTTTGTAAACACTCCCTCTCTCACCTCATGATTGATTTTAATAAACAACTGAGGGCCTAGAGCAAAAGAGGAGAAAACTGGTGGGACTTCCAGCCAGACTTAAGCACTCGGAGAAGAATCGGGTGCGGTGAATTCGCTACAGAGGAAAAAGCAGATGGCAGGACTAGAGACTCAGGAGGTAACAGCCATGTGCAGAACATATGTTATACAAGCTAGTGGAAAAAGAGTAACCCAAGGCCTAAAGCTACTACAAATAAATATAAGTCCCTGTGTCATTATTAGAGCTAGGGCGGACATAAAAAGACCATATGGTTGCAAATGATGATGATGATAATAATAATAATAACATTTTTGAAAGCCGGGCGGTGGTGGCGCACACCTTTAATCCCAGCACTTGGGAGGCAGAGGCAGGCGGATTTCTGAGTTCGAGGCTAGCCTGGTCTACAGAGTGAGTGAGTTCCAGGACAGCCAGGACTACACAGAGAAACCCTGTCTCGAAAAACCAAAAAAAAAAAAAAAAGACACGGGAAAAAAAAAAAAAAAAACAAGG